TCTATAATCCAACTTAATAATAAGTTTCCAGACCATAACCACTGGAATCGAAGCAAATGGAGAAGAATTTTGCCACATGCTACTTGTGTGCTGAATGTTGGACTTATTAATGAAGATAATAGTAATAAGTTAAGCCTTATATGGAAATATGCTGCGAGCCTATACGCCGATGGAGAATGGAAAAGGTCCGGAGAGCTGTTTGCGCAAATCAAGGACACAAGTTTGAGGGTGCTAGGCGAGGAGCATCCTTCCACGCTGACGAGCATGGCCAACCTGGCGTCGACGTTTTGGAATCAAGGGCGGTGGAAGGAGGCCGAAGAGCTATTTGTACAAGTTAAGGACACGAGTTTGAGGGTGCTAGGCGAGGAGCATCCAGACACACTAATCAGCATAGCTAACCTTGCAGCTATATGGAAAGGTCAAGACCGAGATGACGATGCCCTGCAATAGATGAACCAATGTTTAGAGCTCCGGATCGAAGTACTGGGCAAAAATCATCCTCACATTCTATCTATATTGGTGACCTTACTTCAATAGAGCGGAGTATATTTCAATTCCTTGATTTTCCAAACAGGTCATACTTCTAGTTCTTACAATGAACAGTTAGTTACTGCTAATAATTGAGAAATAAGCTAAAAATTTTCATAGCAGACACTAGTAGTTAATTTCCTTTTATTTTCTGGTATTATACCCTAAATATTTAATCTTGAGAGCTTTCCTGTTCTTTTTCTGGCTCCAGCAACGACTAAAGCAGTATGCCGATATTTTTACAGAGCATAATAGTAAAATAGACTTCTAACATAGGTCGTGTAAGCGCGGTGATGATATATTTCTAAGCGCATAATGGTATATCGGTATGCTTCACTGATCTCAGAAATATGATTAGATTTAATTTGATTTGTCATTTACCCTGACCTATCCTAGTGTCACGGAACCACTAGAAGTGATCTGCTCAAGTTGTCACGTGAGGTAAACTGATGAGGCTATCAACTATCTATTCAGTTATGCTGTACTAAAGTATCGTACAATAATCAAGACGTTGCATGAAGAAGGGAAGGCCCGAAAGTAGTTCTTGCTGAGAATATAAAGGGGGCCTTATCACACCTTTCCTAATTGGGATTTGGGCGCGCGCGCGGTGAAATCGAATTAGGAA